AATATGTATATTTTCAATTGGTTTTTATTCAATGACTTTTTCCAATATTTATTAAATAGTTAGTTTATAACAAAACATCTAAATTCGCTTTAAACATTATTTTTACAACTATAGTATTTAAAAATTCGGTTGTAAAAATATGCAAGAATATTGCTTCGACCGGGAATCGGACCCGGGGCTTAAGCTTGGAAGGCTAATGTTTTACCACTGAACTATCGATGCTTAAATAATTTGACTATAAATAAATTATGTAAAAATTTTGCTATGGCACTTTTTAACTATCATTATGAAGTTTAAAAAAGGAGGATTCAACTTTTAAAATTAAAATGCAATTTAAAACAAAAAATATGAGTTTATAGTAAATAATATATATTTTTGTAATTTTTTACTTATAAAATACCAATATTTATTAAAACTTTTCTTTTTAAATCAAAAACTTTTTCAAACAAAAATATATCCTACTCAATGAAAGAAACTATATATGTGGATTAATTTTTTATTACAAATTAAAAACTTTATCAATATTTAGTTTTTTTTTCACACTGTCAAACTAATAAAATTAATAAATTTTCGATCGCGAAACTTAGCAAAAATACGTCTATTTACCTTTACCACAACATTTTTTATCATTTTTTCATTTTTGTAATTGATTAGGCTTACATTTTCATGTGCTTATGCATTTGATATAAATCATATTTTATTTTTTTTATTGTTTTATCTATTTTTATTCATATTATAAATTTTATTAAAATGAAAGCACTTTACTACAAAATTTAGAAAAATGATTTTCGTTAAAAGTTTCAGTTTAACTAAATGAAAAGTTTAATTTAGTTTTTATAGCAATTTTTTTAAATTATACATCATGGATAAACGAGCAAAATTTTTTAGTTGCATCACGTCAAACAAAATGGCGTGAATTAATTTATATCTGAAATAAAAAGACAAAAAATTTAAATATCATATATAAACATTTTAATAAGTATAAAATAATATATAAAGCTTTCATTAAAATAGAAAGTTAAAAAACTAAAATCACGATTTCCAAATTTTTAAAAATTTTTAATATTTTTTTTTTTGCAAACAATGGATCGATTTTTTTGAAAAACAAAAAATACCATGAATTTTTTCTGCTAAAAAATTAAATATAATATAATGCATTCAATATTCACATAGCGTAAAAAAAATCATAGTTATAATAAACGATAAAACTTATTCTCGGAAATAATGTCTAAATGTATTTTCTTTTAATTTTATTTCAGTTAAAAAGAGATTCAACAAAAATCTTACATTCATAAAGTAAATGAGAACCATTATACAAAATTTCGTCTTTATAAAGATCCTAAGAATTTTTATACATTCTTATATAATAGATGTACTGAAAATCTATTTAGCTTTCAACTTGCAAATTACATCTTTTTTTATTACTGATAAAAATAAAAATTTAAAAATATCAATGCCTTTATCTCAAATACTTCGGTGTTTTGATTGTTACATTTTTGTTGGTTGATGAATATATAACCTCTAAAATAATAGATAAAACCCTTTAAAAATTTTTGAAGTGCAATAAATAAAATCATTTTTGTGGTAGAATAGTCCAATTCATGATTAATATGTAAAAAAGCTATAAAAATATCAAATAAATATTATTTATTATAATATATTAATCGACACATAAAAGATATTCATTTTTTTGTATTATTCGGATTGAAATGTCACATGAAATATTTTTTTCAATTTATTTATAAATTACAGTTAAGTAAAATTGAAAAAAAATGTAAGAACATATTTAAAAAAAGTTTAAGATTCCAAATATATATTAAGCAAATGAGTGATTAGATTTTTTTAAACTATATTTAGAAAGTTGAACGTAATAATACCAAGTAATTTTTCGGAAATTTATCGTTAAAGTTATTTAGCTTTCGTTAAATATTTTATTTTGATGCGATCAAATCGCTATCTTAGTATGAATTTATATTGTTTAAATTTGCTGAATTCTTATTGAAAATAAAAATAAATTTCTAAAATTCTGTATACTTCAATTTCTATTTTTACATATTCTTTGATAGTTCAAAAAACTAACAAGTTGAAGCACTCAAAATGTTTATCTTTATAATTCTTAATTTCTAGTGATTATTATTACTCATAAAGTATTTTTATTTGTCTCTTTTATTTATTTCACAGAATGCTATATTCCTAATCGCCTTAAAATGAATAATTCGTCTGAAATGTTCAGTAGGTAAAAAAAATTGTAACTTTATTATATACATATTATTCCATTTATTGCTAAACATAATTTTATTAAGCAAAGTTTTTTTGCAATTAATACAAGAAAAATAAAAATATCAATTTTAATCTTAATCATGGGAAAAGGTAAGGTAAAAAAATTAAAAACACCAAAAAAAAACACAAAATAACACATTAGTTGTTTTAAAAGGTTTTTAAAAACAACATAACGAATAAAATATTAAAATCTTTGCAATTTAAAACAAACCTAATAAAACATTAATTTAAATATCACATTATTATATTATTCCTAATATGCTAAAAAAACCAAATATATATTTCCTTTTGATCATAACTTATCTAAATATCGTACTGAACTGAAAATGCAAAACTAATATTATAGCTAAAAATGTAAACGAGTAGATAGTTTTGGAGGAGAATATACTATTTTTTTTGTTTTAAATAAGTTAATTCGAATCAAAAAAAACAATATAAATAATAAAGAACAATAAACAAAAGCCGTTTCAGCAGTTAAAACAAGAGAAAAATAAAGTCAATACCGAAAGAAATTTTAAAAAATAACAAAATAGAAATTTGAAAAAATTATCAAATTTATATATTATACAATTAAAATATATTGCCTCAAACTTATAAAAATTTATTGATGGTTGATCTAAATTTCTTTATGTAAACGATCATAAAATTTAAGTTTTAGTGGTCAATGCACATTACATAATGATATTTAGGCATCAATGCGGCCTTTAGATTCAATATAATAAACAATTTTTTATAATTTTTATTTTTCTTGACAAAACTGTAATAACTTGCGTGACACGGGCAATAAAACCACAAGATCGGCAGTTACCACAGGCATAAAATCTTTATTTTTTTATCGCACCCGTAGAATTAAAAATACAAAAAAAACATGTTAAGATAGTCTTACTAGTTTTGATTTAAAGAAAGTTGATTATGTGAAAAAAGTAAAATGAAAAAGTTGCTATTTATATGTATGTATATGATAAATCAAAATATAACCATTTTTTACTTTTGTAAGATTGCACCTTTTTCATCTATTAATAGAGAAAACACAAAAAAGTTGTGTGAATAACTCATTCGTAGATTTTCAATTGCTATTTATTGTTATGGAACTATAATATACATTCGTTTAAGAATTTTACCTAAAAAAGGCTTGTTTATTAAATTTATTTTTTATGCGTTTATAAACACCTATTATAATCCTGTATACATAAAAAAAAATTTATTATTTGAAAAATTTTTCTGGTTAATACTCTTCGATTTTTGGGATGTTTTTGCATATACTGTACAAACTTATAAAGAAACAGAATCGCAAAAAATTATTCTGCATTTTTTACATATGGAACAGTATTTAATATTTATATATTCTTTTAGCTATGTTTAAGATTTTATAAAATATAAAAATTTGTTTTCTTAGGTGAAACCGATTATATATAGTTAATAAGTAAATTTTCTAAATCCTTATATGACAATTTTGCCAGTCATATAAAAACATATAATAAAAAATTATGATGTTTGTTAACAAAGACTTGAATATAAATCATATATTAAAAAATGAAATTTTTAGTCCGATAAAAAATTAAAATATATATAATTGGAAGAAGCATATATAAATCATAACAAAAAAGAAAAAAAAATTGTTGGGGAATATATTAGATAAAATGTATATTTTCATTTTCTTTTTGAATGATCAAAACCTTTCTGTTATTCTATTTATATGATACGTTTCAAGTCATATATTTATTGATTAAAAATTTAAAAAAGAAAAAATGTCGATAAATTTAACTAATAATCCTTTAAATTATGATCAAAGATATATTATAACATTACGGCATAAAGTTAGATACAAAATATTAATTCTTGAGTATTTCTCAGCATATTCAAGCTTAGTCGAAATTTATTTAAATTTTATCAAAATTTTGTTTAGCATATGTTCTATTAAAAAAAATAAATACTTGTTTTCTAGAATTTCAAAATTTTTTTTGCAGATATTTCTATATCAGCATTATTTTTCGACCATTACAAAATTTTAGCCCGCTAATATAAAAAAAGTAAATTTTAAAAAAATTTTTATGATGAATTTCCAAAAAATGTATACACAACTACATATATTAGTTTCTTGATAATAACAAAATTTTTAAATTTATTTAAACTCTGTATTAACTCTATTTTAAAGAATTTAATAAAGAAAATAGATTTCTTTTTATATAAATAATGTAGTTGTCGTATTTTGCGACGAGCGTAGTAAAAAATTTAGATATGAAGTCATAGAAATTCAATTAGAAAATTTTAGATGCTACTTTTTTGTATTTATAATTTCAGATTGATCTAAAAGATCAATCAAAGATCTATTATTCTCTATCATTATCATATGGAGTAAATCAATCTAAAAACATGCAATAAAAACATATTCGTTGCTAATTATTTATCAAATTTCATATCAAAAGCCCATCACCGTATTTAATAAATAGATCATGACTCATAAAGGCCTTAATATATACTTTTGTTTTTAATCTATAAAAAATATTCATACTCAAAACAGGATGTGTTGTAAAGGGTGTTATACAGTCAAACTAAATTTTTTAGTTTTCAGTATACTTGATATTGCTATTTTATATATCAATTTAGAGCTACATGTAATTTTTTTGTACCGTGTTTTAGAATTTTTATTACTCCATATACTGAATATAAAACCACAAAATCTCTATGCCTCGACTTCTCAAACACTTTAAGTATATTATTGCATTGTATGTAAGCATGAAAAATTCTTTTGCTATAATGCTTCGATGGTGTAAAGCCTTATTCTTTTTGTGTTAAGCTATTGTATATTGATACTTTTTTTTATATTCTTTCCTTTAAGATCTTATCGTTTTTTTATGGATTCAGAAGTTTTCTAATAGCTCTTATAACTCTACCCTCTTTCTTATGATTGTAATTGTTGTTATTCGAAGACATTAAGAAGA